TGAACCTCCTTAAAAAACAGCTGGAGTCGGATGCAGGGGAGAGGAGAAATGTGTTCAATTAAGATGGAGCTAAAACAAAACAAACAAAACAAAAAATGAATGACCTCAATTCTAGACCAGAAGTTTCAAAATAAAGATGAGTTTGTAAACAGCCCGCTTATTAGACCTTTTCTCTGTATTCCTGGCACCACCCTCTCAGGTCTATTTTTAGCCACAGAATGGGGAGCAGACAGGGAAGGGCTAACTGTGGCCCAGCATTTACCGTGGCTGCCCTGCCAGGACTCTGGCTATCTTTAATTAATGTCTGAGGGATATAAGACGGACCCTACCCATGGTGAAAGGACGCACAATGGTGAAACTCTACCCCGCAGAACTGACAGGCCCACGACTGGTGTACCATTCCTGAGGTCCCGGGGCTATGTTTTGTTGAAAAGAAGGCTCCATCTGGAACATTTACCGAGGGCAATGTGGAAACCCTGCATATTAAAGAGTACAGAAAACAGGGCTGCCTGTTTATCTAGTTCTGTCATCCTGCTTCACAGAGTCACACTATATTTTATCCACAAATCACTTCTACATGACCTATACCTTTTCTCAAAAATAAAGAAATTTCCTTTTAAGTGACTGCTTCCTGCTATCTAGTCCTCATTCCTAAATAAAGATGAAACCAACATTTACAGTCCTTCCCTTTCACTGTTACCCCAGGAGATAAGCCTAAAGCTTTTAAACCACAACAACTCACTGCCATACAGATTAAGCTTTATTAAATATTAGAGATTAATCATCTTTGGAAACAGACCCGAATAAGCTAAGAAACTGATAGTGAAACAGATTCTATGTACCCCAAGCTGACCAACATCAGCATTCTTAATGCATACTACAGGCAGGGATGATAAATGGGAGGAGATAAAATGCAACCATTCCAAAAAAAAAAAAAAGAAAGAAAATCAGACCACAGCATTACAAAGCTCAGCAGTGACAGACATGTGACTAGTCAGGAATCAATGAGCCGCCTATGAACAAAGAATTTAAGAGAATCCTGTTAAGATAGAGCGAAGTATGAATAAAATTCAAACACCTTCTGAATTCCCACCTCCTATACTTCGGACTACAGCAGACTGCCTTCTTCCTACGCTGGACTCCATTAACCAAAATAGCTCTATTCATCTAAGACTCCAGGAGTCGAAAAAATTCGAATTCTAGAATTCTCTTTTAGCTAAGGAAACCATATGGCTGGCTTTCCTTGCTTCTACAGAAAGTACTTACGCTAAAACCATTATCAAGTTTAAACAATGGTTTTAGTACTAAGTATAGTCAGAAAAATGCCAGCTGACCACATTTAAGAGTATTTGAGTTTCCCACCCTCGTTCTGGAGCTGGTTTCCTCACAGTCTCAGATGTCCATTCTGAAGCCAGTTGTCTTTTCTGAATGAACAATGAAGGCGGGATGCAAAGCAGATGAGCATCCTCACACCACAGAATATTACTCACTGGTTGAGTGCCTGGGAAGTTCTGCAGAGAGGGGGCTGGCAGGGCCGCTGCCCCTCCCAGTCTGTATTACTTAAGCTTGTGTGGAAAGGAGGGGGTGCCATGAGATGACCAAGTGAAAAGAAAACCACCTTGAGAGTCTGTGCAAAGGTTAGCAACTGCTGGAGAACTCTGCAAGGATTGACAGTTAAACCATGGCAGCACAGCGTGGTCCAAGAGAACCTTCAGTGATGAAAGGGTCTGTTCTGTATCCGTCGTCCAACGTGGTAGCCACTGGCTACAAAGCACATGAAATACAGCTAGTGTGATCAAGGAACCGAATTATTTTATTTTAATTAAATTTAGTCATATGTGTCTCACAGATACAGCACTGAACAGCACAGGTTTAGAACGCTAGGAAAGCTGACCACAGCAGTCTCCTGGATAAGAAAAAAGCTCAGAGACTAATAATGGTCCTGTCCTTTCGCCTGGGAATTAAGGGGAGAGGGACACACACACACACACACACACACACACACATACTTAATTACCTCCCCTTAATTGTGTTAGTAATTAAAAAGCACTTTCTAATCATTTCTTTCTCATCTGAATGTGGACCTAACATATGATTAGAACATGTAAAATGTGGAAGTACTGAAACTGCTTTTCTCTTCCTGTCAACAATGAAAACTTAAGGGTAGAAATTATTTTGAATTTTGACATTTCTAAGTTGAAATATAAACTTTGAACCAAGTACTTAAACAAAAGATAGTTTAGGCTGCTTAAAGATGGTTATCATTTTTTTCTTCTTTTTGTTGTCCTCTCAAAAGCCACAGTAAATTCTTTGATGTGATTACGGTTTGAGACCTGAGAGAAAAAAACAACCTGTCAACAAAATCCCCAAGTGCTCAGACTAAAAAAGATTCATTCCAATAGCAACTGTGTAGTTAAGTTGGGGGGGGGGGGGAAGGGGGGGAAGCTGCTTTTTGCAACCACACATTCTGAAGATCCAGAACAGATTTAATAAGCTTTAGCATAACTTATATTTGTCTCATCTGTATTCCTAAAAATCGCCAACATTAGCATCCTTGATAAAAACTGGCAGTAAGCAAATGCTTTTAGTCTTATGCATTGTACACTACAGCTTTAAGTGGCAGTACGTTCTAAAGACGTGTCATCTAGGGACACACACTCCCTGTACATTATACACCAAGGTTACAGCAGAAACAAACTATACTCAGTATCAACTGATTTTCTCTCTGAACTCTTCTTAAAGATTGTTTAGTGCCCTTCAATCTGTCTAAACAACGTAAAATGGTACTGTTTTTTTTCTTTACGATTTTATTTATTTATTTATTCATTCATGAGAGACACACAAGAGAGAGAGAGAGAGAGAGAGAGAGGCAGAGACACAGGCGAGGAGAGAAACAGGCTTCCTGCAGAGAGCCCAATGTGGGACTCGATCCCAGAACTCCGGGATCATGACCTGAGCCGAAGGCAGGCACTCAACCACTGAGTCACTCAGGTGCCCAATGGTACTGGTTTTAATGAAGTTTTTCAAATCCCAAGAAATAGAATACAATTTTAGTTCTAGGATTAAAAAAAAAAAAAAAAAGGAAACTACACAGTTTAATAAACTACAAAAACTACTGCTGTAAACTCAAAATAGACCTTAGAACAAAGATCATACCTTTTCTAATAAACAGTTTCAACAGCAGGACACTTGACAAGGCTGTGTGTGATCAGAGTAACAGTAAAGTCAGTGAATGAACTGCTGCCACCCTGTAGCAGCCAGTCACCTGGGTCTGCCTGCAGATGTCTGTACCTGTCTCCACCCTTTCAACTATTCACCAACAATTTGCATAAACTCAAAACATATGTAAAAAGGCGGCATGGGTCCAGGTTGCTATAAAACAATGGCATTTAAATACAAGATCTTGCATAAAGACTCAAAGAGTCAGTCCCACCAGCCAAAAAGTCAAGGAGTTGCAGCAATTTTTACACAAAAAGGCCTAAAGAATGTAGATACAGGTTCAATATGGTTGCTCAAATAGCTAATTCAATCTCAGACTCCATTTGGCAAAATGTAAATTGCCAAGAAAGTTACTTTTCTCTACCAAAATTAGTACCGTAGGTGCTTCAAGATACTGCATTTTAGTAGGGCCAGCAGGATGTGGAAAGACACACACCCCCCCCTTGGTGAGTGAGAAAGACTAGTCACACACCTGGACAGGGGAGGAGCACAGCAGACGGAAGGTAAGGAAGCAAGAGAGCTGTCTCCTAAAGTGTGAAGGGCTAACATGTGGACAAGGAATAGACTTATTCTGTGTGGTATCAGGGAACAGAAAAACAATCGAGACAGGCAAATTTTAGTTCAACGCAAGGAAGAGTATGTCAGACATCAGGGTTGTTCATAATTGGACTGGCCCACCTGCAAAGGCAGTGAGCACCTCCTTACTGAAGGCCAAACCTCAAGAGCCCAAGAGGTTTCCACTATAATAGGAAGTTAGATTAGGTAACTCCCTCCACATCGCCTCCCTCCTCCCGCCACTGAACAGGAGACGTTCACAGGCACCACCACCTCCCTAACTCAGACATGTCCGGATTCTCTCACTCCAGGCTTTACCGTTGTAATTTATTTTCCGGCTGGGGGGGGGGGGGGGAGACCTGCAAATTTTTGTGCTTTAACAAAAGTTAGGGATACTAACACCTAATATGAGATAAGCTTTGACAGCTGGGCAGCGAATTCACCGGAATGCCAGAAGCACTGCCCTCAGACGTGATATTCAGATTCTGTGCATTCTTTGTAGTTTCCCTACATCATTTTCCTAAATCATACTCTTTAAATTCAGTTAACGGACCCCAAACTCAAAATGACTGAGCTGAAAGAGGTTTAATTTTCTTAAAACTTCCCGAAATTAGAGTGAGCCTTTTACCTCATTCTTCGAAGGTTACAAGCAAGAAGCCTACGCGGGGCGTTCTTAAATTGCTCGAACCTCAGAGAATTGATTCTGATTCCTCTTCCAAACCAGGAATTGAGACATGTGGAAGGGAGACGTGGGACTTACCTTTACTTGCAGATATACATCCATCCTTCCCCATTATTTCCATGCCTCCTGAAACCCATCACTAAGGGACCCCGCAGTGTTCAAATGGATGCCTGACTCGGTTTGGGTCCTCTTCTAATTCTACCCTAGGCCCAAGATTACAGATCCCAGAAGCTCATTACCCGACTATTCAAACTCTAAAATGATAGCACTGTCCTAAGAAGTACTCTCAGAACTCTCCCTGAAGAGCAAGTACCCGCTCCCTGTCTGAAAATACTTTAGGGAGGCAGCTACCTGCCCACAATCGATCATGCGCTCGGGGGGGGGGGGGGGGGGGGGATGGGACAGGCCAGCTGTCCACATCCCTGCTTGATTCCCAACCTGTAGGTCACTAGGTCTGAAACAGGCGACGGTACTTCCGTCCAAATCATCCCTTCCAGCCTCAACAACACATTCCAGATCCATCACCATCTGCCAGGCTTTTTACCTTTCTGAACGTGAATGATGTCAGGGAAGTTGGCCAGGTGCCCCTGATAGAGCGCTAACAGGTCCATGACGGGGTCCAGGTCCTGCCTGGGCTGCTCGGCAAAGAGCTCGCCGATGGCGTCGTAGGCATCTCCGGTGAAGGCGATGGCCTGGTTCAGGCCGGCCGAGAAGGCCTGCTGGTCCAGCTCGAAGGCCTGGCTGAGGCCGCGGAAGGACTGGCCCACCTTCTGGTACTCCTTCTTGAAGCCCGTCACCTGCTTGCGCGCGAACTCGTTGGCCGTGTGGTTGAGCTGCAGCGCGCTGTCATCCATCTTCTTGGTGAAGCACTTGAAGCCGTCGATCTTGCTCTCCACTTCCTGCAGGTCCAGGGCCGCGGCGGGGGGCGTGCTCAGCGTCAGGAAGAAGTTGGCGCCCACCATCTCGTCCTTCTCGGCCTTCCTCTTGCCCTGCTTCCAGGCCTTCTCGTCCGTGCTGCTGGGGCAGGTCAGGAAGTGCTGGAAGACGTCGCACTGCGCCAGCACCGGGTGGCTGGCCATGTGGTTCATCCACCAGATGAGCCCCTTCCTGCGCTTGGAGATGAAGTCCTCCTCGAAGCGGCCGGTGGCCTGCTTCTCGGGCAGGTGGGGCACCGAGATGACGGGGAACTTCTCGGCCAGGCGCGCGTACAGCCAGTCGAAGTGCTTGTAGCGCCGGTGCACCGGCACCTGCGTGTGCGTGGGCACCAGCTTGTAGGAGATGTAGCTCTTCATGCCCTTGAACTTGGTCTGCTTGGTCGGGTCGTCGATGGTGCACTGGAAGGGGTACGGGTTCTCCTGCCACTCGGGGCCGTAGGGCCCCAGCACCACGCACAGCTTGTCCCCATCCTTCACGAAGCCCGACGCCTCGCCCAGCACGAAGGCCTCGCCGCCCGACTTGACGAAGGTGGAGAAGCGGTTGAGGTTGCGGCTCACGGTGGCCGAGCTCTTGGCGCCCGACGGCGGGTGCTGCGGGGCCGCCGCGCCGCCGCGCGCGCCCAGCGACAGGTCCGAGCGCGTGGACAGGCGGTAGCGGCCGGCCGCGCCGCCGGCGGCCGCCGAGCCGTCGAGGTCCGGGTAGGCGCCGCTGCCCAGCGCGCCCGGCTCGTCCGCCACGGTGGAGCTGTCGTCCCACTCGTCGTCCCAGTCGTCGTCGCTGCCCTGGCTGGCCTGGTAGCCGCCGCCGAAGGGCTGCTGGGCGGGCGGCTGCAGGGCGCCCCCGCCGTACGCGAAGCCCGCGGCCGGCGGCTGGAAGGTGGAGGCGGGCGGCGCGGCGGGCAGGGGCTCGAAGCCGCCGGGCGGGACGTTGGCGTAGCGAGCCGGGGCTCCGGGGCCGCCGTCGCCCGCGGGGCCGGGCTCGGGGGCGCGGATCACCTGCACGTACGAGGCCGGGAAGAGGCCGCGGTCGCCGCGGCTGTTGACCCCCTCGAGCCAGCCCTCGATGTCCTGCTCGCTGCACAGGCTCAGCACCTCGTGCTCCCGCAGCGAGATCTCGCCCGGGTTCTCCGACCTGAAGTCGTACAGCGCCCGGGCGCGCAGCGCCATGGTCCCGGCGCCGCGGCCGGCGGCCGGCGGCCCCCGACTCCTCGCGCCGAGGGGCCCGCGGGGCGGCCCGAGCCCCGCCCGGCGCGGCGCGGCGCGGCGCGGCGCGCGCGCAGCCGAGCCCCGAGGACAGCGCGCGGTCCCGCGCCCCGGCCCCGCGGGTCGCGCCCTCCGCGCCGCTCGGCTCGCAGCGCCGACTGCCGCGCTGGGCCGCCGCCGCCGGGCGGGGGCGGGGGCGGGGGCGGGGGCGAGGGCGGGGGCGGGGGCGGGGCCCGCCGCCTCCCACGTCCCCAGCGGCGCTAAATCCACGGCCGAGCGCCGCGCGCCAGGCCAGAGCAAGCGATGGCCGAGCCGCCGCGCCCGCCGGCCGGGCGCGCTCGGCGGCCGCCACTGCCCCCTGCGGGCGGGGGCCGGCGGTGACGCCGCTCCGCGGCAAGGAAGGCTGCCCCGGCTCGGAAAGCCGTGAGCCGTGTGCGTGGCGGGCGTTTATTTAGGCTCTTAGCTTAAAAAATATTAAGAAGGAGCAGTCGCGAAAGGACATCAGTATTCGCCTTCCTGACGAACGTCCCTCCCTGCCCGCTGCGCGAGCGCTCCCAGCACGACTTGGCCTCCCGCCTGGTGGAGGGTCGTCAGTGACTCAGCCACGGCGCTCGCTCGGGAGGATGCCCGGGGATGCTCGCAGGATGCCCGGGGCCCGGCGCTGCCCGCTCCCTTTCGCTTCTGGCGAGGAGGGCGGGAGGAGCGCCGGAGCCAAGGAAGGAAGGGAAGGAAGGCGTCGGCTTCGGCGGAGCAAGATGCCGAGGGCGGCGGAGGCGGTGCGAAGAGGGGCGTCGTGGAGGAGGGCTCACGACGAAGCTGGTCCGCACCTGGAGCGCTGGCCCTTCGCACGTGTCCCTCCTCCTCCCTGAGACACACAGGGGGCGTGGCGGTGACAGCTTACGCTCCGAGGCAGGCTGCTCGGCTCCAATCTGCTTTTTATTATTATGATCATTCATGAGAGACACAGAGAGAGAGGGGGGGGGGCAGAGTCCTGGGCGGGGGGAGAAGCAGGCTCCGTGCCGGGAGCCCGATGGGGGACTCGATCCCGGGACCCGGGGGCACGCCCTGGGCCCAAGGCAGGGGCTCAACCGCCGAGCCTCCCAGACGACGCGCCTCGGATCTGCTTGCTGACACCGCCGAGCTCGTGACCTTGAGCAAGTCACTTAGTGCACCTCCCTCCTACGGTTGTGATGGGGATTTTATAATCACGTAATCCTTACTTTGCAGATGAGAAAGATGAAACAGAGTCTCATACGGCAACTACCGTACACGGGGAGCACAGTTCCAGGTGTTTGCTGCGCTGTCATTTGGGAAAGCAAAAACCCTGTCCTCCTTCATCCTAAAAAATCACAATCCCAGGGCAGATGCACCAGAAAGGACCCCCGTGCTCAACAGCCGGACTCCTGATCTGAGATCAGTGATCATCTCTCTCCATTCATCTTTGTCTCGCTCTATTTATGTCATCTTTAAGATAAGTACAGTTTAGAAATCACTTCCTGAAATAGGAACTCCAATCTCCAAAGCTGCCTTGTTTCACATCTTCTTCTCCTTCAGTGTGTCATTCGCCCCAAGCTTTTTCTTCCCATAATTATTACGTCTAGCCTAATTATTCCCTTGAAGACACCTCTAATTGGGATTCACAATTCATATGTCATTAATTTCAGCCTGTCCTCTGACCCTTCTCCAGCAAATCTGGGAAACAGGCCAGAAGAGTTTACAATTATTGTAAGGAAGGGCTGTGGTATTCTAAGCATCTTGCCCAAAACCACCAACCTCCTATACCAGAATTACTCCCACAGTGTTTATCCCTGGTGCAAAAATCTTAATTCAATCCTGTAAGCAAATTCTGAATTACAACATTTTTAGCTGAAAATTCTGGGTTAGGATCCTCTTTACAGTAAGCAACCAGAGGTCACTGAATTTCAATGTCAACAATTTATGTGGTCGGAAACATGAAGTCAACGTTTATGAAACATCTAGAATACCATTGATTTTACTTATTAACTAGGAGAAGCTAACCCAGAATACTGAGAATAAATACATTGAATTTCACCCTTACTATTCGTCTGGTAGTTACCTTTTTAGGTTAAAAAGTTAATTTTTTAATTTTTTAAATTTTTTTTATAAAAAGTTAAAATAACATGAAACCTGCAGTTGCTTCAGGTTTTGAAACAGAGAGACAAAAAAATCTATTTCGGGTATGAAAATTCCGGGAATTTGAGGTGATTGATGGCTTTCACAGACTGGCTGGACTGCTCCTTAGAAACAGTGGTTGAGAACTACCAGACGTCAGAGGTTGTTTGCTGTACCAGTACACAAGCAACTGTTCAGTTTGTGGGAGTCTGGAGGAAGACCAGGCATCAGGCTTGGTGAAGAACAGGGACAGGCTCTCTGTGGTGCCTGGCTACCTGGCACCTGAGTGGCTGGAAATGCCCATTAGGATCTTGGATATTTTATTTTTTTAAGATTTTTTTTTTAAAAATGTGTTTATTCATGAGGCACAGAGAGAGAGAGGCAGAGATATAGGCAGAGAAAGAAGCAGGCTCCCTGTGGGTACCCCAATGCTGGACTCAATCCTGGGACTCTGGGATCATGCCCTGAGCCAAAGGCAGATGCTCAACCGCTAAGCCGCCCAGGCGTCCCAGGGTCTTGGATATTTTTAAAAATATGCTCAAGTGTAACAATTCATAACTGTTCACTCAGGGAAGTAGATATAGTGGTACATTTTTAAAAGATTTCTCTAGAAAATGAAGAATATTTTGCATGATTTACGGTATGTAATACTCGTTATGACCATCAACTATTTCTATTTCATTACATTTTTGTAAGAACACATCATTAGGGAACAATAAACGGCTCTAAAAACCCATATTTTCACACTTCTTCTTTTGGCCGGAGAAGTCTTATGTGGCCTGGCCGCTGCCTCTCTTTCCAATTCCTTTCTTCCACTAGAGTAAAACCACAGTAGTTTCTTTGTTATTCCTGGAACAAGCCAAGCACATTTGTGTGCCTCAGATTTCTTTAATAGACCTTATTTTTTTTAGAACAATTTTAGGTTCATAGCAAAACCGAGCAGAAGGTACTGGAGATTTTCCATATGCCCTCTCTTCACGCATATAGCCCCTTCCCCACTATCAGCCTCTCCAGTCAGATTGGTGCATTGGTTACTGTTGGTAAACCCACACTGGCACATAGTTACTGCTCAAAGTCTGTAGCTTACATTAGGATTCAGTCTTGGTGTTGTACCTTCTATGGATTTGGACAAATGTATAATGACATGTATCTGCATCTATCAGTGTAGTATCACGCAGAGTAGTTTTGTTGCCCTAAATCTTATCCGTGCTCTACCCATTCATCCTTTCTACCCTCCTAACCTCTGGCAAACACTGATCTTTCTACTGGTTCCATTGTTATGCCTCTTCCTGTCATATAGTCGGAATCATACAGTACGTAGCCTTTTTAGATTGAATTCTTTCACTTGGTAATATGCATTTAAGCTTCCTCCATGTCTTTACATAGCTTGATAGCTTGATAGGTCATTTCTTCTTAGCCCTGATAGTATTCCATTGTATGTATCACTATTTTTTTTTTTATTATTTACCTAACTGAACAACATTCTAGATTTTGGCAATTATATATGAGGCTGCTATAAACATCTCTGTGCAGGCTTCTGTGTGGATATAAGTTTTAGACTCCTTTGGATAAATGCCAAGGGGTAGGATTCCTGGACTGTATGGTAAGGGTATGTTTTGTTTTGTAAGAAACTTTCAACTTCCAGAGTGACTCTACTACTTTGCATTACCACCAGCAATGAATGAGAATTCCTGTTGCTTCACATCCTTGTCAGCATTTGGTATTGTTAGTGTTCTAGATTTTGGGCATTCTGATAAGTGTGTAGTGGTATCTCATTGTTGTTTTAATTTGCATTTCCTGGTGGCATATGATACAGAGCATTTTTTTCATGTGCTTATTTGCCATCCATATGTCTTCTGCAGTGAGGTAGTCTGCTAAGACCTTTGGCCCGTTTTTAAATTGGGTTGCTTTCCTTATTGTTGAGTTTTAAGAATTTTTCTGTATATTAGAAATGAATCCTTTATCAGATAGGATTCAGGAGCAGATATTGCTCTTAGGCTGTGACTTGTCTTCTCACTCTCTTGGCATTGTCTTTCACAAAGCAAAAGTTTTTAATTTTAATGAAGTCCAGCTTATCAATTATTTCTATCATGGATAATGCCTTTGGAGTTATGTCTAAAAAGTCATTGCCATGCCCAAGGTCATCTAGATTTTCTCCTGTTATCTTCTAGGAGTTTTATAGTTTTGTATTGCATATTGAGGTCTCTGATCCATTCTGAGTTAATTTTTGTGGAAGGTGGAAGGTCTATGCCTAGGTTTATTTCTTTTTTCATGCAGATGTCCAGCTGCTCCAGCACCATTTGTCAAAAAGACTATCTATGCCTCTTTGTGCTGTCTTTTGCTCCTTTGCCAAAGATCAGTTGACTATATTTGTGTGAATCTATTTCTGGGCTCTCTATTTTGTCCCATTGATCCATCTGTCTGTTCTTTCACCAGTACCACACTGTCTGATGACTGCAGAGTAAGACTTAAAGTTGAGTCGTGTCAGTCCTCTTCCATCTTCTACTGTCTTAGCTATTCTGGGTCTTTTGTCTCTCTATGTAAACTTTATAATCAGTTTGTTGATATCTATAAAATAATGCTGGGATTTTGATTGGGGATTATATTTAATCTACAGATCAAGTTGGAAAGAGCTGACATCTTGAGTTTTCCTATCCAAGAACGTGGAATAGCTCGCCTTTTACTTATTTAATTTCTTTCATCAGAATTTTGATTTCTCCTCATATAGATCTTGTACATATTTTGTCAGATTTATACCTAAGCATTTCATTTTCAACGGGTGCTAAGGTAAGTGGTATCATGTTTTCAATTCCACTTGTTCGTTGCTGGTACATGTAGGAAAACAGTTGGTTTTTGCATATTAACTGTTCATCCTGCAATCTTGTTATAATCACATTTGAGCTCCA